CCCCAAAACCCCAAAACCCCAAAACCCCAAAACCCCTCTATCTCCCTAAAATGTAATAATTTTTAATAAGGAATGGAGTCTAATTTTAGCTTGACACAGATGCGCTTATCAGACTTGTGCAACATCCTGCACTACTTGAGCATCCCTGATTTGATGAGAGTACTAGCGACATGCAAGAAGTTCTATGGATTCAGGCATTCTAATGAGATATGGATCAAGGTTCTTGACTATCAGCCAGCTCCTGTTCTAGCTGAGAGCAAGTGACTCACTGAAGAAGGAATTGATAGCTCTAAGGAAGCAATCACTATTCAAAATATCTTTCTTAGAATCCCAGATTTTTATACAAATTTAGTAATAAAAGAAGGAAGTTCAGCCATCGATGTAGTCAAGTGTATTAGAGAACTCGTTATGAATAATGAGAATAAGGTGATTGGTCTTGAGGGTCTGAAGAGTTCATCGCATGATTATGATCAGACAATTCAAAGAACTCTTGACTCCTCTCAGTATAATTTCTGGAGTTCTGAAGGGTCAGGAATTGTTGCTGATACTGAATGGCTACTTTATAAGATGAAGAATGGGCCTTCATTGATATCTTCTGTGATGATTATGCCTGTACGTTTATCGGGATCATGATATGCTCCATCACAAGTCAGGTTCAAAGTTGGATTCCATAAGGATCAATATCATTATACATCTCCTTTATTCAAAGTAAAGAATGAAGAATCTGATCAAATTTTCTATTGAATGCCAGATTTAGTTGTTGGTACATTTATAAAAGTTGAGTTTTATGGAAAGCCTGGCATGCAAAATATTGATAGAAGATACTACATAGCTTTGCGTAATTTAAGTTGTCAAGGATACCAACTTGATCCAACTACCACTCCTCCTGAAGCATTGCCTACTTTACTCAACATTTGTACCAATTGTTCAATTCTGGAGGATTCGTTAGCTGATGAATTTGAGAATTCTGAGAGAATCCTGATTTCCATGGTTAAAGGAGAGACTTCACTTTCTGATTTTTCCGACCAAATTATGAAAGACCTTAGATTATGGGCTTTCGAACGTAGGACTGTGTTACTTCAAAGCTCTAGAGTTATGGATCATTTAGATACATTCCGCATTTTCCAGGCTGGTATTATTCCATTAACTCAGAAAGATATGTTTTGAGAAGGCCAAAGCAGACTTAGTTTGATCGAGCTGATCCTCGGTGTCCTCAAGCGAAGTGAAGAACAAAACAATTTTTTGGATAAAATGAACACAGAGATCTTCCTAAAGATGGTATTTAAATGTGCGGAAGATCTATCTTCAAGTAATGAGCAGATATTTGTCCATTCTTCTTCAGAGTCTTTACTTCCAGGTGAGTTAATAAATTTATATTGAATGAAATCTTAGACTTCATAATTGGGCTTAAGTGCATTAATTCGAGATAGCTTAATCTTTTCACTACTAAATAAGGTGTAAAACGTAATTTAGGAAGCTACTCAAGACCTTTCTTTACAGGAGAATTAACAAGTTTGGACTACATTTTGGAATATGCTCAGAAGCAAAGGTTCAAGTTCTTCCCTTATCCGGGCTTGATTGAGGAATATTTTAAGTACGATAATGAACTTCCCGATCCCTCGATTTCAAAGAAAAAATGAGCAATGAGTGATGAAGAGAGTAAAGACAGTAGTAGTATTAATCTTAACTACATCAAGCATATCTTGTTACAGGCAATGGGATTCATCTTTGAAGACTTCAAGTTTGTGTTGAACTCTCCAGATCTTTCCTGAAGCGATTTGTTCTATTGCCTTGTGAATACAGCCAAGCTAGCCTTCGGTGAAGAGACATCAATGGATGATAGCAACTCTGATATAATAGAAATGGATACTGAAGAGCGAAAGATGGCTTATTCTAGCGCTCTACCAGTGAATGCATCCATAATCTCTATTGCTATAAAATCTTTCTTCGAGAAAAACCCAGGAGTCCAAAAAGAAGATTTGGTTGCAAAGATTACCGAAGGATTTGAGTACAACTTATTCTCTACTAAAGCGGGAGAATTTATGGAAAAGTTGAGTGCTGAGTTAATATAGTAAAAAAAGGTGATTCAACTATCTTCTCAATATTTGGGGTTTTGGGGTTTTGGGGTTTTGGGGTTTTGGGG